CTGGTTATTATAAGCGAACTCTAGCAGAGGTAAATGTTCATCCCAAGCTCCCTCCATGGTCATAACACAAGCCCTCAAAAGATCCTCCAGCGTCTGTATCGTCCGCTCGGATTGCCCATCGGTTTGAGGATGGTATGCAGTAGAGAAATGCACCTTTGTACCCATAGCCTTCTGCAGACTAACCCAGAATCGCGACGTGAAGCTAGGATCACGATCAGAAACGATACTAAGTGGCACCCCATGTAGTCTTACAATCTCTCTCACATACAACCTCGCCAACTCCTCCATCCCGGGCTTGAACCTGATGGGTATAAAATGGGCCACCTTCGAGAAGCGATCAACAATCACCCAGACACCGTCATTCCCCCTCGGGGTCCTCGGCAAACCATATACAAAGTCCATAGTGACCTTCTCCCATGTCCATTGCGGAATCTCCAACGGTAAGTGTTCGATGATTGGGGCTTGATGCTCAGCTTTAATCATCTGACACTCCAAGCATTGGTAAACGTGAGCTGCGACCCCCTTCTTCATACCGGGCCACCAATAATGCTCCTTGAGGGTGCGATACATCTTGGTTGCCCCGGGATGCATCGCATAGGGAGCAGAATGAGCCTCATCCAATATGTCCTCCCTCAACTTGTCGACATCAGGTACGCACAGCCTTCCTCGAAACATCAACACTCCATCCAGTAGCTCAAACTTAGTGTTCTTCCCTTCCCGTATCTGCTTCCGGTACTTTTCAAACTCCACATCACCACCTTGCTTCTCCTTGATCCGCTCCTGTAGCATGGGACGAATCTTTAGAGTTGCTAACAACTTTGTTGCCTCCTCCAGTTCCAATTCCACGTTCATGGCCCTCAAAGAGACCAACTCGGGTAGAGGACTCTCCTTCTTCCGGCTTAGAGCATCGGCCACCACATTAGCCTTCCCGGGGTGATACTTAATCGTGCAGTCATAGTCACTTAGAAGCTCCATCCACCTCCTCTGCCTCATATTTAGCTCCTTTTGATCGATCAAGTGTTGGAGACTCTTATGATCAGTGAAGATGGTGAAAGTCTCTCCATAGAGATAATGCCTCCATAACTTCAAAGCGAAAACCACCGCTGCCAACTCCAAGTCATGAGTGGGGTAGTTCACCTCATGAGGTCGTAGCTGTCTCGAAGCATAGGCGATTACCTTCTTATTCTGCATCAGTACACAACCCAAGCCTTGATAGGAAGCATCACTATAGATTGAATACTCCCCACCGGGGGTTGGTAGTGCTAACACCGGTGCAGAGGTTAGCTTTTCTTTAAGTAACTCGAACGCCGCTTGACACTTCTCGTCCCAAACGAATGCCTTCCCTTTTTGTAATAGTTGTGTCATGGGTCTTGCAATACTGGAGAAACCTTCCACGAACCGCCGATAATAGCCAGCCAATCCCAAGAAACTCCGCACTTCTGGGACGTTCTTGGGTGGCGCCCAATTAGTCACAGCTTCTATCTTCTTGGGATCCACCTCAACTCCTCGCCCTGAAACGACATGCCCCAAAAACAAGACTTCTTTTAGCCAAAACTCACACTTGGAGAACTTGGCATACAGTTTCTCCTCTTTCAACCTCTGGAGGACCATCCTCAAATGCTGCTCATGCTCCTCCTGACTCCTAGAGTAGATTAGGATGTCATCGATGAAAACAATGACAAACTTGTCCAAATACTCATGGAGGACTCGATTCATTAAGGCCATGAAGGCGGCTGGAGCATTGGTCAGCCCAAACGGCATAACCAAAAACTCGTAGTGACCATACCGAGTACGGAAGGCAGTCTTAGGGACGGAACCGTCTGCCACCCTCAGCTGATGGTAGCCAGACCTTAAATCGATCTTTGAGAACACCTTTGCTCCCTGAAGCTGATCGAAGAGGTCGTCTATCCTCGGTAGAGGATAGCGGTTCTTGATGGTGGCCTTATTCAGTTTCCGGTAGTCGATGCACAATCTCATTGTGCCATCCTTCTTCTTTACAAACAACACGGGTGCTCCCCATGGCGATACACTAAGACGTATGAAGCCCTTGTCTAGCAGCTCTTGCAACTGTTCCTTCAACTCCTTCAACTCCACTGGTGCCATCCGGTAAGGGGGGATGGATATAGGTGCCGTGCCCGGGATCACTTCGATGTCAAACTCCACCTCCCTAGGTGGCGGCAACCCAGGGAGATCCTCCGGGAATACCTCAGGATACTCCCTTACAACAGGAACATCCCCCAACTTCTTCTCTTGTATCACCTTGACATGACACAGATAGGCTTCACATCCTTCTTGGATTAGGGTGACGGCTTTTACTGCAGAAATCAGGCTTCCAGGGATCATCTTCTTCGTCCCCTTGAATAAAGCGGTGCCCTTGCCCTCAATTTCGAAGCTAACTTCCTTCCTATAACAATCTACCTTTGCTCGGTTCTTGGATAACCAGTCCATACCCAAGATAACATCGAACTCACCAAAGGGCAGTAGAACCAAATTGGCCTCGAGCTCATGTCCGGCCACTGTAACTGGACAATCGCGGACGATCGAGTCTACAATCAATTGTTCTCCTACCGGGGTGCTTACCCCTAGATTTTGGCCTAACTTCACATGAGGCAACCCTAAAGCTCTCGCAAACTTGGTCGAAACAAAAGAATGCGTGGAACCGGAATCAATAAGGACAAAAGCAGGGTACTTGTAAAGGTAAATCATACCAGTCACCACCTCAGGTGCTGCCTCCGCTTCCTCTCTCCTCATGGCAAAAAGCCTCGGTTGTCCCCCTGTTGGAGGCCCCTGGTTCCTGCCTCGATCGTTGCGGTCAAATCGCCCAGTACTCCCTCCTTGACTGCGAATAGAGCGGCTTTGCTGACCACCAAACTGAGGTACTGTGTAAGTCCTTCCTCCTCCGCCTCTGACCGACTGTTCAGATGGTGCTCTCCCTTGCCCGCCTCTCCTGGGACACTCTCTGGCAAAATGACCCGGCTCGTTGCAGTAGTAGCAGACTCCTAAATGTTGTTTGCATACCCCGGAGTGGTCCCTCCCGCACTGATTGCAGGGAAACCTGTTGCTGAAGGTTTGACCAGGTCGAACCGAACCGCTTTGACTTTGAGTACCCCCAAAATTAAAGGTACCACTCGGCCTCCTCCTGAACTGACTCGACTGGCCAGCTCCCTCAGGCATGCTACTTGCCTTCCTCTTGCTATTCTCTCGTTGCACCGCTTCTTCATGTGAGGTTGCCTCGGCCCTCTCTATTCGGAGAGCCGCCTGATAAATTTCCTCTCTGTTGTTCCACATCAGCATACTCAACTGCTTCTTAAGGGTAGGCTTCAGACTCTCTAAATAGTGGACACGCTGGGCTGCCTCCCCTTGGAATTGGGGTCCTCCATAGGGCAGTAGCTTCTCGAACCGCGAGGTATACTCCGCAATGCCCTCCTTGTCTTCATTGCCCCACCTCTGCTTGATCAATATGAACTCCCTTTGCTTGCCGAGACGGTAGGCCTCAGGCACAAAATGGTCGCGGAATCTCTGCACCAGCTCTGGCCAGGTGATGGCCGGTGGGTCCACTCGGCTGGCTGGTTGGGTTTCCCACCAATTGTATGCCGCATCTTGCAGTAGGGATACCATCAGCAGTACCCTATCCTCATCATCTGCCCGCATTTCGGTCAACGTGCGTGTGACCTTTGCCAGCCATTTCTCCACCTCACTTGCATCCGTCGAGCGATCCCCATCAAAGTCTACTACTCCTCTCCTCCGGAAAGCTATGTAATCCGGGGGGTTCCTAGCCGCCACGGGATTAACATGCACGTTACTTGCTCTGCAAGTAAGTAGTACTCTTGTTAGAACCACATTTATTTGTCTTATCATGCTTGAGTATACTGGAAACTCTATAAACCTCTTCAAATCGGTTGGCCAACCATTTTTTTTTTAAATTTCCTTTTTCCTTTAAAACTGGAGCTTTGAAAACTCAGATCGTCAATTCCAGTATTTCTTGGAGACCAAGAAACAGAGGAGTGCCGGCTCTGATACCAAAATGTAATGTCCGACCTTTTTCGAAAATCAAACCACAACTCAAACCCAAAAACCGGTTACTCCGGAGCAACCCAAACCATGTTTTTAAGTCAAACCAAAAATTAACCAACGACAATAACCAAAAATCTCAAACGAAAAGCCCTAAACAGTTGGGCAAATCTCAATCCAAACATTTGAACAGAAAACCTGAGTTTCCCAGTATACTCATAGGACAAGAAATAAAAACAAATATGATAAAAAGGGTCCCATCTCAATACCCTGATCCTTCCGACATCTTCAAGCTTGACGCGGCCGCCCTCCTTGATCAACCTCCTGGTGCTGGTTATGTCCTCTTCCCCTTTCCACACCTGGTGAGTGAGAAGGGGTCAGTCTCGTCGTTACTTTCTAAGGTCTTTGCCTAAGCAAACCCTACTAATACATTATTAGAAATTACCTCCTCTTACATGAAAGCCGTTCTCGCTTTCTTCCTTAATATTTTAGTCCCTGTTAGCTTATAGAAGTTCTGTACGTCTATCTTAATTTATGTACTTATTACTAGGGTTCACCGCGTTACGTATCGCCGTCCGGTGTCCCTATCCTCAAGGCAATGGTACTGCGTTACGTATCGCCGTCCAGTCCATGCCCGGTCAACTACTGCGTTACGTATCGCCGTCCAGTAGTGACCCGACCATCTACCGCGTCCAGTAGTGGCCCAACCGCCCGGGGGTTCAATTACCATCAATCATACATCACATAAATAGCACAACGCGTGCCTCCACCCTTATAGGCGGTGGGATGCCTCACACACATAACGCGCATACTATAAAAATTAAATAACATAGCTGAATTAAAAAGGCATAAACTAAAAGATCTCGACGGAGATTTTACCCCCTTTACACTCACCTCTCAAGTGCCGACACTTTACTTCCTTTGAAGTGGGGTCCCTTAATTTGATCGCCTCCTTGATCCTATAAATCGAGATTAAATTTCCCTTAGTCGCTATTTCCCAAAACTTCCCGTTCTCCTAGCTTAGTCCCATAATTCCTTAAAAAGGTCTTAGCTCATCCTAACTAATTAAATAATCTCTTGCATAAATCTCCTAAAAATTCTCATGAACTTCCCAAAAGAAATCCATTACCCCTCAAACTACAAATTCTGACTTCTAATAACTTAAAACATAAACCAAAATCATTAACTATAATTTACACCTTCATTAACCCCTCCTTCTTATTTACTATAACAAAACTAATTTTCGAGCCTATGCCACAAATGCCTAAAATTCTGGTATCCAATTTATAACGTAGAAGATATACTCTAGTTTCACCTAAAATAAAAAAAAATGTAATAGAAATATTCTTACAACACTTTAATAATTTAAAACCGACACCATCTAAATTTTTATAAGTAGCGAGTCCGCTCTAACAATTACCAAATAATTTATGAACAAACATACGTGTATATTGCTTATACTAAAATTATCAAATCTAGTAAAAACATTCGCATACTATTTAACTGAAATAGTCTTCCCACCAATTTATTTTTATAATTAGGACAACAGCTCCAAAAATTCTTGAATTAATATCCAAACACCCTATTGATTTGTTCTTATTTATAAAATTATCCTACCATGAAAATGAAATTACCCCTAAGTCCTTATACTTTTCGAACAGACAGTAATGGTACCTGAACTATCTGATTCACGTCTCAAACTTTAGAGACTCGTATCTTCCTCGTCCGACGTTGAAACTCGATTCCGTCGAAACCGGGGTGCTACTGAGATTTCCCCCTTCACGATGATACCAAGGTTTCGATGCTTGGTGGTGATTGACTACGCCGGGACCGCCATCGAAGCTCTACCGTTCCATATGGAGAACGCTTTTGGTCGATGACGACGTTGGCGTTGGCCTTCCGGGACGGAGTACTGGTTGGCGCTGCTACTGCTCGTTTGCTCTCGCAAGCAGGCTTGGTTGCACGAAGCTTCTCTTGCGGTGGAATGGTGATGACAACGATGGAGGATCTTTATTCCTTCTTTCTTTCTATTTCCCTCTCCTTCGGTTCTCTTTGCCTACTGCAATTTACGGTGGAGGAGGGTTTAATGTAGTAACGGCTTGGTGGGGGGGGGGGTTAAAGTAGGCGGTGGTGATAATAATGATTATAGCTTGCCATGGGAGAGAAAACGTGCAGTGAGTGATGAGTGATAATTATTTTTTTTTTATGATAATAATAATAATTATTATTATTACTATTATCTCTAATCTAAGGTCGAACCCTTCGTACGTAATCGTCAATCAAAATGTTCGGTCGAACCTAGACTTCAAATGTCGGGATGTTACAGATTATCTCACAAGCAGCTCGTTCTTGGAAGCCAATCAACGAAGTAGAAGTAGGGGCAATTGCTCTTCGAAGCGGAAGAGAGGCCAAAGAGTTACCCCCAAAGAAGAAGCTGCTCGCAGCAGAGGAGCAACAAGTCGTCGATAGCTTCCCCGCATAGCAGGAGGCCATAAGTGAAAAGGAAAAAGAGAATGCCAATCCGACCCCTCAACCGGAGTGAGAGAAGGAAAAAGCAACCCCAACTCTCCCCTATCCTTCTCGACTTCGCAATGACCGCATGGCATAAAGTTTATGGAGTTGATGAACCAGTTGCATTTGAACATCCCCTTCATGGAGGCCGTTACCCAAATGCCCAAGTACGCCAAATACTTGAAGGACCTCCTCACCAACAAGAAAAAGCTAGAGGGGGTAGCAATGGTGAGCTTGAATGAGGAATGCTCCGCCGTCTTGCAGAACCAATTGCATGCGAAGCGAAAAGATCCATGGAGTTTCACTATCCCTTGCTTTATTGGTAACATGTGCATAAGAAAATCCTTGGCGGATCTAGGAGCTAGTATAAATGTGATGTCCTATAAGCTGTTTCAAAAGCTAGAACTAGGAGAACTTAGATCCACTATGATGAACATTCAATTGGCGGATAGGTGTATAGTACGGCCTAAAGGTGTTCTGGAGGACTTACTCATTAAGGTAGGACCTATCATTTATCCTGTCGACTTCGTCATCTTAGACATTGATGAGAATGTTAAGGTCCCCCTCATCTTGGGTAGGCCTTTATTAGCCACCGCCAAGGCTTTGATTAATGTGCATGGGGAAAAGTTGGTGCTTAGGGCAGGGGAGGAAGAGGTTACATTCTCTGTTGATGATAGCATGCAGTTGTCTGGTTTCCATGATGATTTTGATTATTGCGAAGAGGTTTTTGACTTCATGGAGGCACTCGCATCAGCGGGTGCCCTTACTTCTGACCTTTTTGAGGAGTGTTGTTTGGTAGGAACGGACATCACGGACTCCCTGGAGAATGGAAGCCAACCCCCACAAGATCAAGAAGTGGAGGCCCTACCCTCAATGCCTAAAATCTCTACCTCTTTGAAGGAACCCCCTGAGTTGGAGTTGAAGCCTCTGCCTCCTCACATCGAATACGCCTTTTTGAGGGATGATGGAAAGCTTCACGTCATCATCAACGCCAATCTTACAATGGAGCAGAAGGCGAAATTAATTGGGGTCCTAAGACGTCATGAGAGGGCGATAGCATGGAAGATCACAGATATCCGGAAATTGGGCCGAACATTTGTTCACACAAGATCCATCTGGAGGAGGGTGCCAAACCGGTTCGGCAACTGCAAAGGTGAGTGAATCCTAATCTGGAAGAAGTGGTGAAAGCAGAAGTGATTAAGCTATTGGATGTCGAGATTATCTACCCTATCTCGGATAGCCAATGGGTAGAGGGTGTGCATCGACTATCGAAGATTGAACGATGCCGCTCGTAAATATCACTTTTCTTTGCCTTTCATCGATCAAATCCAGGAGAGGCTTGCTGGACACGATTACTACTGCTTCCTAGATGGATGTCAGGATACTTCCAGATTCCAATCGTCCCAGAAGATCATGCCATCATGCCAAGACAACATTCACATGCCTCTTCAGAACATTCCATTGAACGTAATTCTCGTATTATAATTTTGTTAATAAAACTTCATTTAGATTATTATGAGGTTAGGACAATAAATGCAAAGATTTTAGTTATTAGGAAGTATTTTGACGTATTAGAAATGAAACAAGAGAAACTTAATCCACATTCAGCTTTTCATATTAAGGATTTTAAATGAATACAACTAAACAAGATGATTATATTTATGCATGATAGACCAGCAACCCAACTGGCTAAAATGCTAGTCGTATAGCTCGTCCGTTCCTCAAGAACTAGGGTTTGAAACCCTGTCACCGCCATTTTTGGATTTCTCGTTTTATTTCAGAGAAAGAGGAAGGGTAGTTTCGTAAATACTCAAAAATACGGTGGCAAGGGGCTGTAAATGCGACCTAACCCTAGGGGCAATTTAGTCATTTAAAAAGTCATGGTATATAACTCTCTTAAACAAAACCCTAATTGACTCTAAGCGGCTAGCCGCTGTTCTGTTCTTCCCCTCTCTCAATTTCTCTCGATCCTTCCCCTCTGTGCGGTCTTTCGGAAGACGAGACCCTAAGTCAAAGCCTTAAACAAAACAAACAGCAAACTCTATTCCTCCTCTCTACTGTCCGTCGGAACCGCTCTTCTCTCTCGTCGCCGGTCAAGGAATCTGACCACGATGAACCTAAATCAGAGACTTCCTCTCTAGATGTAAGTAAAATCGACATGCATGTTTCCTTTCTTTGCTTTTTGGTTTTTAATAGGATTTTAACCTTCCTTTTTCTGTTTGAAGCGATGGTTTCTGAGTTTTGGTTTTGGTGACAAGGAGAACAGGTATTCTGGTCTCGGAGGAAGGACGGGGTCACCGGTAATGGGGTGTTCATCTCGTCGGTGATGACGATCGACAACCAGACAAATAGGAACAAGGAGATCCGCATAAGATTGGCTTTGCCTGTGGAATTTTATTCGATTTTTTTTTTGTGAAGATGTGAATTTCTGATTTTCTCTGGGTTTCGGTATTGAGCGAGGGGGAAGAAGAAAAAAAGGTCACTGGAGGAGAAAGCAAACTTGCCGTCAACGAGCATCCCAGCGAGAAGAGAAGACAAGTGGGGGTTTTGTTCTATAATTTTTTTTTATTTCGATCTGGGTCGGATCTGACCTCTACCCTTGTTTTGAAGCAGGTTATGAAAATGGACGAATTTAGGTGAGGTTCCCATAACCTCGGTTTAGTATGGTTATGAGTTTTAACCTCAAAACTAGAGTATTTGTAGTGGATTTGAAATGGTTGGTGGATCTGGATTTTTAGGAAATATGATTGTGTGTATATTTTGATTGATTCTGAAAGGGTGGTTTGTCTCTGGAATTGGTTTTGATTCTTATTATGCTATCAATCGTTTAAAGAAAACCAAATCGGTTTGGAATGGTAAGTTAGTCTCTAGTGATCAGCGCTACTGCTTCTGATCTAATTAACAACAAAAATCAAGATTTTCACTATTTTTATATAATGTAACCATTGGTATTTTTAGTTGAACTACGGTGATTTCTTTGAGATCTAGAGTTTAGAGGGAGAAATAAATATAGAAATATTATAATCGTGTTTATTACAAATAAACCACTGATTTCTCTGTTAAATAAGAAAAGTATGTTCTAAACTCAACGCCACTGATTGTGATTTTATTCTAAGATTGCCATTTTCTGAGTTGGTTCCCAAAGTGTTTTTTTTTTAATGTAAATCTGATGGTTATGATGATTTTTGGTGTGTCTGGATCTGTACTAATCCATGGCCTTCTAAAATGTTTTTTTTGTTGAAAAAATGGTTTCTGCACTTCCTATAGACCTTTGCATATTTGAGTTCTACTTTTATCATCTATTCGCTAGAAAGGAAATTGAAAGCATGGCTGTAATTTAAAGCAAGACACTAATTCATGGATAGTTGAATCGACCGGTAATAGCAACGATATACATAATGATAGGCTAGGAATGGTAATGAAATTGATGCAAAAATAACCAGCTACTTTAATCGCAACTCATGAATATAGTATAATCTATGTAATTGGAAAAACTAAAATAAAATGCAATAAGTAAGCTTGATGGAATGAGCACGAATGGAATTGACGATATTGTTATTGAATCAAAGAGAGATTTGAGGTTTACAAGCACTAACCATTTGGAAACGTTGGATCTCCTAATCCTTGTTTTTAAGCTATTACACACTTTGGACTAGAAATCGTTGTTCTTCAGCTATTACGAACTTTGGGCTACCATTTTTGTAAAAGGGCAAAAGGAAAAATGCTTCTATCACTCTCACTATTTCTCAAGCGTTTTCCCCATGTCTTCCGTTCCCAAAAAATGTTCCCAAACTTGAGAGCCAAAGAGCTCTTTAATAGTAAAAGAAAGCGCCATGTGTCATGTTGTAATTGATGACGAGCATGACATGCTTCTCTCTGATTGGTTGATCCTCAAGGCTGCATCTGAAGCCTCAACCTGCAAAGTGGGTTGCTGAGTGGCTATGTTGGAGAGCTCTTGGTCGGTTCTGAATGGTCAGGTCGGGTGTGGGCCGAGCCTGATTTGGGCAAGGATGGATTAGGACCACATCAGTTTGCAAACTTGAGCTTCTGGGCCGGCCTATTCATTGCTGATCTGGTGGGCCGGACTCTGATTATGGGTTTGACTTGGGCTTGAACTAACTGATCTCTCTTTTTTTTTACAGGTTGCTGTTGTTGGTTTCGGGCTCTCAAACAGTGACATGGATTTGAGAAGACATAGCCCATTGTATTCAAGTCGACTGTTATCCGCAAGTAAACCATTTATGTATTCAAGCCGACTAAACCCCACTTCTTAGTTTGAAGTCTTCAAGTCTTTTCATAGTTCTTAGACCCAGACAAAATGTGGGTTCTACAAGGTGCATTCCATTTGGATTGTGCAATGCCCCAGCGACAAGTCCAAAGATGCATGGTAGCCATTTTTGATAATCTAGTGGGGGAGATAACATAAGTGTTCATGGACGACTTCTCGGTGTTCGGAGATTAATTCTCTCACCATCTTGCCAAATTGGAGAAGGTCCTTGAGTGATGTGAATAAATCAATAGCTTTGAGTTGGGAGAAGTCGCCTTTTATGGTTCGGGGGGGGGGGGGGGGGGGCATTGTGTTGGGTCACAAAATTTCCAAGAGAGGGAGTGAGGTGGATCGAGCCAAAGTTGAGACAATAATCAAGCTCCCTCCACCAACCACGGTCAAGAGCATCAGGAGTTTCCTTGGGCATGTGACACGCTAAAACACAACACCTAACAATGGACAAGTGTAACCAATGAAAGGGACTGCAGTATAGTGGCACAAGTAATAAATATCGAATCCACGGGTCTCTAGAGTTACTATTACTCAGCTTCAGTTCATTATCTAGCAAACTAGATTAAGAATTGATTTATAAACTACTCTACTGACTACTCTACTAATTACAAGTTGGGAACTCACTTAGGTATGATTCCCCCTAGCTCCTCAATTAGGTCCAAGTTGCAATTACCTTTGGTTGATCTACTGTTGATTAAAATGCGGAAGATCCGACAGTAGCTTGGAATCTCTTAAGCTGACCAAGCCCTCTCAGTCCAACTACCCGGCAGGCGACTAACCTTCACCGGGATAGAAAACTGAGGCTATGAACACAGAACTTCACTACCGGAATTGGATTCCAGTACAAAGCAGTAGATTGACTAACTCTCGTATAACCAATTCACCACCATCAATCAAGGAAGCTCTCTTAACCTAATCAGATTCTATCTATCATAGGTTAAAGCAGAAATCAAGAGAATTTGATCAAGATTCAATTGAATCAATAAATCATGCCTCAATCAATTATAATCAAACAATATAGCATCCAAAACTTCATACAAGAAAGATCCTAACACATGGAACTAGGGTTCCTCAAAACCTAAGTGAAGGGAAGTTACTCCATAGAGAAGAGAGAGACTGTAGAAATCTGATCTAGATCTTCAATCTCCATCTCCAAGCTTGATTCCCGAGCTCCAATGGCGAAGAAATCCTCCAAAATAGCTCCAAGAATGTTACCAAGTCGCTCTCTCTCTCTAGGGTTCGTTCCTTGGGTGTTTGGGAACCAAAAACCCAGCTCTCTCCTTTCCTTTGGCTGAAAATCGAGTTTTAAACAGAAATTCCCGATCACGCGGCCAGGCCACACGGCCGTGTGGCTTTCCCAGCTGCCCGTGTGAAGGCTCGGTGATTTCCACACGGCCACGTGGCCAGTTCACACGGCCGTGTGGGTCGTGCCCGTGTGGGTTGCTCAGCCTCTGTTTAATGCTTCGTTTCTCCCTCGTCCGGACTCCGAATCAGTCGCCGTTTGATCCCAAACGCTCGTAGTCTCGTCCTCTTTCTTTTCATGACAAGATTGCATGAGTATTTGTCCAAAAAGGGAGGTAGAAATACATTCTTCTTCAGGTCATGCCCGAGTTTCTTCTCCCGAATCGTCAATTGATCTCTGATTGATTTGAAACTTGCGCCTATGCTTCACTTTATGTTCTAGGACCTGAAATGTGACAAAGGAACACAACCTAGCATAAAATAGGACAAAGACGCAATAATTCAAGCTCAAACAATCAAGAAACAAAGGGGAAAACGTGTGCAAATCCGAGTCATCAAATCCCCCCACACTTAACTGTTTGCTTGTCCCCAAGCAAACCTAACTCAAACCAATGCAGGTCTCCAGACCTCTATAGCAACAAACAACCCCGATCGTCGGTAGAGGATTTCCTAGATCATATAGCATCTTACGAGGTCAACTGGTCTTCTAAGACGTCCCCTATCTCTCTCAATGCGAGTACTAGACTCAAGCCAGGAACATGAGAAGAAGTAGAAGTAAGACAGTCAGTTCATGGACAAAGGGACTCACACCATTCACAACCAAGGACTCGTTGTACCGGGGTGCTCTTTCACTTCATTTCACCGTTGGAACCCCTTTTTGCACTTTCATTTACATTTCTTTTTCTCTTTTTTCCTTCATTCACTTGGCGGGGGTTCCAACTGCAGTCTTTTGCACGGTCGACCCTTATTAGTCAAGCAAGAGCAATTTTTGTACATCTAGCGCTCGCCAGAGTACTTCTTTTAACTCCTTTTCCTCAACTCGTGTGGAGGGTCAATGAAATCAAGGGGGGTCGGAAGCTCTATCCGTGCCCTTAAAAACACATCCTCAAGTAGGCAAACCGTTCAACGGGTGAAAATTTTACTTGTACTAGAGACAGCTTAGTTTCACCTTGTAGGAGTACCCCACTAAGGATCACTAAAATCTCTTCCAAAACCCGATTTTGTGCAATGAACGGTGCCACACACGTTGGGCTTACCCCATGTTTAAGATTTCTATGATTTCGACATGGAGGACCAACTGCTTCCCATTTTCCATATGAGCACCCTGTTCGATACACGAGTCCATAACACAATCCAAACAGAGTCACCATTACCACATGAATTCAACGGTCTTAGCTCCACTAATTCACAAAATCAACTGGCACAACAGAGAGCTAGATAGGAAAAATCTTATACTTCAACATCCTCCACAGTGCTACACTACCTCCCTAGGTTGCACATTACTATAGAGAAGTCGATTCAAAGCATACTGAGCAGGCAATTTGCAAGGAAACACGTACTTGGAGCCCTCAAATTTAAAATTTTGGACAGTGGACTAGGCTCCAAGCACACAAACAGCCAAACATTCACCCGCATACATAATCGAACACCCCCCCACACTTAAGCACGACATTGTCCTCAATGGAGGAAAGATAAGTAGGGTAGAATGAAGTTACCAGATCAAGGGTGAATGATGATGGACGGGTCAGGCGGTGCATTCCAGGAAGAGAGAGTAATCAGAACGCAAACACCACACAATATCTCACAAAGGTTGAGTTATTGACTCTAAAATCAAATAACAAAACTGACTCAACCGAGGAGAAATAGAGAAAGAAATGCAAACCGACTGGTTGGGTTGCCTCCCAACAAGCGCTTCTTTCACGTCGTGAGCCAGACGATGGCTCCTAAGTTTTGGTCCATGCTAGAACTTCCTTGAAGTTGAGGTTCTCGTCAATGAGGTGGAGTCGCAAGTCACGAGCATGTGGTATGACTGGTGATGGAAGCTCGTGCACTTGATGCAGATGAAGTCTCCATCCTCGAGACCTCTTCTTCTCTTTTCTCATCCCATTGCCCCAAACCAGATATGACAGCATCGATTGGCCACCATCGCGTCCACCAAGAGGGACCGATGTCGATGTGGCCTTGGTCTGGCAAAGAGACACTGCAAATGGGTCCTTGCTAAGCAGTTCCTTGAAGTTTGGTGGAGATATCACATGTAACTCATGGCCGGTGCAGACCTCTTCCACCTTAACTCCGTCCTCAGCCTGGACGCCAATTGCTTCTTCAACCCCCCTTTCTTCTTCATGTGGTATCACCCCTGGGAAGTGATCAAGAACTCCTCCTGCTTCACTTTCGTCATCCTCCACAACTTCTTTCTGCACCCTTTCTTGCTCTTCTTCTTCTAGCACAGATTGGAGAGCAAGTCGCCATGTAATTTCTTCGATGAGATCATCTTGCATCTCCTCGCTCGGGCAAAGCATGTTAGAGCAGAAATAAGGAAATGTGTGATATGCAACCAGAGGACTTTCCTGATCATGATTATCATGGGAGTTCTCTGTGATAAATTCTGTATGCTCCTCAACATCCCCGTAGCCTTTGTCATCCTCCACCTCTTTTAGCGTGGTAGCAGAAAGGTGATCTTGAGCAAGATGTGAGCAAACTTGCTCCACCCACTCTGTTTGCTTCGCGGAGCGCTGAATAGTCTCCTCCATTTCATGGAGAAATGAGGGATCGGAAGGGGCAAGGGCTTTGATTTGAAGATCCATCTTGGAGCATGATCTCTCAGTGTCTCGAGCAAACTGCTCTACGAGAAGCCTTAATTGTTTGTTCGGATCTTCCAGTGAAGTGTAGCATGGCTCTGTAGAGTGGCCAGTGAAGGCCTCCATGGCTAACTCCAACTCTGATGGCCCTACGGGTTGTGGGAGAAAGTCTTCTTGGTAATGAGGTTGTTCTTGATATGCCCAGGGGTCTGATTGTTCTCCGTAGTAAGGGGGTTGGTACTGGAACCCAAATCCATAGTCTTCTCCTCCTTGATTGTTGTAGGGAGTCTCGGGGTAATACCACTCGGATGGTGGTGGATACCCCCAATGGTTGGAGAAGCCATGAGGATCCATGATTCAGATCTGCACCAACAAAAACAAAAAACACCCAAGTAAAAAGCAAGGGTGGAAAAGAAAAGAAAAACGCTAAAGTAACAAACTTCTGCCTTTCCTAATAATCTAGAAAGTCCCCGGTAACGGCGCCAAAAACTTGACACTCTAAAACACAACACCTAACAATGGAAAAGTGTAACCAATGAAAGGGACTGCAGTATAGTGGTACAAGTAATAAATATCGAATCCACGGGTCTCTAGAGTTACTATTACTCAGCTTCAGTTCATTATCTAGCAAACTAGATTAAGGATTGATTTATAAACTACTCTACTGACTACTCTACTAATTACAAGTTGGGAACTCACTTAGGTATGATTCCCCCTAGCTCCTCAATTAGGTCCAAGTTGCAATTACCTTTGGTTGATCTACTGTTGATTAAACTGCGGAAGATCCGACAGTAGCTTGGAATCTCTTAAGCTGACCAAGCCCTCTCAGTCCAACTACCCGGCAGGCGACTAACCTTCACCGGGATAGAAAGCTGAGGCTATGAACACAGAACTTCACTACCGGAATTGGATTCCAGTACAAAGCAGTAGATTGACTAACTCTCGTATAACCAATTCACCACCATCAATCAAGGAAGCTCTCTTAACCTAATCAGATTCTATCTTTCATAGGTTAAAGCAGAAATCAAGAGAATTTGATCAAGATCCAATTGAATCAATAAATCATGCCTCAATCGATTATAATCAAACAATATAGCATCCAAAACTTCATACAAGAAAGATCCTAACACATGGAACTAGGGTTCCTCAAAACCTAAGTGAAGGGAAGTTACTCCATAGAGAAGAGAGAGACTGCAGAAATCTGATCTAGATCTTCAATCTCCATCTCCAAGCTTGATTCCCGAGCTCCAATGGCGAAGAAATCCTCCAAAATAGCTCCAAGAATGTTCCCAAGTCGCTCTCTCTCTCTAGGGTTCGTTCCTTGGGTGTTTGGGAACCAAAAACCCAGCTCTCTCCTTTCCTTTGGCTGAAAATCGAGTTTTAAACAGAAATTCCCGATCACGCGGCCAGGACACACGGCCGTGTGGCTTTCCCAGCTGCCCGTGTGAAGGCTCGGTGATTTCCACACGGCCACCTGGCCAGTTCACACGGCCGTGTGGGTCGTGCCGTGTGGCTTGCTCAGCCTCTGTTTAATGCTTCATTTCTCCCTCGTCCGGACTCCGAATCAGTCGCCGTTTGATCCCAAACGCTCGTAGTCTCGTCCTCTTTCTTTTCATGACAAGATTGCATGAGTATTTGTCCATAAAGTGAGGTAGAAATCCATTCTTTTTCAGGTCATACCCGAGTTTCTTCTCCCGAATCGTCAATTGATCTCTGATTGATTTGAAACTTGCGCCTATGCTTCACTTTATGTTCTAGGACCTGAAATGTGACAAAGGAACACAACCTAGCATAAAATAGGACAAAGACGCAATAATTCAAGCTCAAACAATCAAGAAAACAAAGGGGAAAACGTGTGCAAATACCGAGTCATCAGCATGCTAGGTTTTACCGACGGTTCATTGAGAACTTCTTGAAGATTGCATTACCCTTGACCAAGCTTTTAGAGAAGGATGCCCCAACCCTTTTCACAAGGGAATGTTCTGAAGCTTTTAACATCCTTAAGGAGAAGCTTACAAATGCCCCCATAATGGTCTCACCGGATTGGAGCCTTTTTTTCGAGCTCATGTGTGATGCTAGTGATTATGCAGTGGGAGCGGTGTTGGGACAAAGGCGGGGTAGACATTTTCAACCTATTTGCTACGCCTCAAAGACACTGAATGATGCTCAGGAGAACTACACAACTACCGAAAAAGAGTTGTTGGCAGTAATCTTCGCTTTCGATAATTTCAGGACTTATCTGGTGCTCTCAAAGGTTATTGTCTACACCGACCACTCCACCATCCGCTTCTTGATGAGCAAGGCAGATGCCAAGCCCCGACTAATCCGATGGATCCTATTACTTCAAGAGTTTGATGTGGAGATCAGGGAAAAAAGGGGGTCGAAAATCTTGCGGCTTACCACCTCTCGCGGCTCCAAGGATCGGGAGGGAGCACCTCCCCAAGAGAGATAAATGACACCTTCCCCAATGAACGGTTATTCGCCCTCGCTGCTGCAGAGAGTGCCATCCCTTGGTTCGCAAACTTCGCCAACTATCTGGTTGGAGGTCAGCTGGGCAAGGGAGTGAATACACATGAGAGAAATAAGTTTTTCTCCGACCTCCGATGCTACTTTTGGGATGATCCCCACCTCTTTCGGATTGGGTCCGACAGAGTCATTCGGAGGTGTGTACCGAAGGAGGAAATGACGGATATCTTAAACCACTGTCATACGGGACCAGCAGGAGGCCATCACGAAAGCAACCAAACAGCAAGAAAGGTGCTCCAGTTGGGATATTGGTCGAGCCTTTTTTGGGATGCCTACAAATTTGTGATTCATTGTGACAAATGCCAAAGGACAGGTAATGCTTCTAACCGAAATGAGATGCCCCAAACAATTTCTATCACTTGTGATATCTTTGACGTTTGGGGCATCGATTTTATGGGTCCTTTCCCCTCGTATTTTAGTAACAAGTACATTTTGTGGTCGTAGACTACATCTCGAGGTGGGTTGAGGCTCAAGCTCTTCCCACCAATGATGCAAGACGAGCTATGTATTCGACAAACTCCTCGATCGCTTCGGCGTCACCCACCAGGTGTCCATGGCCTATCATCCCCAAACTAGTGGACAAGTCGAGTTATTAAATAGGGAACTAAAACAGATACTAGAAAAGACTGTGGATCAATCCCGCAAGGATTGGTCCGCAAAACTCGATGATGCTTTATGGGCGTACCGCACAGCCTACAAAACCCCCAATATGAATCTCGCCTTACCATTTGATGTATGGCAAAGCGTGCCACTTTCCCGTAGATCTAGAGCACAAGGCATTCTGGGCCACAAAGCTTTTGAATATGGACCCTATTTTGTGTGGCAATGAACGAAAGTTGCAGGTGCTTGAACTCGAGGAATGGCGTCTCGAAGCCTATGAGAACACCAATATTTACAAGGAAAAGACGAAGCGCTTGCATGCTGCTTGACTGAAAGGAGGGAAGATTCCCAACCGTGAGACCAGGTTCTCTTATACAACTCCCAATTGAGATTATTCCCAGGGAAGCTATTGTCGAAATGGTCAGGCCCGTATGTGGTAACGCAAGTGTTCCCATACGGGGTAGTTGAGATATCCCACCCGGAGGAAGGACCTTTCAAAATGAATGGAAACCGCCTGAAACATTAACTTGTAGGAGAGGTACTGCCGCAAAAAAAGGTGATGTTCCTACAAGATGCATGACCCAGAGTCTCCGTCTAGCTTAAGACGTTAAAGATGCGCTTGTTGGGAGGCAACCCAACGGAGGTTAGCAAGTTTGTCCTACTATTACTACTATCGTATTGTGTTTTGTAATAACCTCGCCTTGAGCGATTCGTATTGTGTTTGTATGTGTGTGTTTTTGTCTTTTCCTTGAAGCTCCAAATCCCTACCCCGGAAACAATTCCAACTTTCACTCACCAAGAAAAGCGGTAATGTCGTTTTACCCCTATCTTACGCAATTGATGGCAATGTCGAGCTTAAGTGTGTGTGTGTGTGGGGGGGGGGGTAGTCTACCTTTATGCTTGTGTGAGCGTGATTGATGCTTGGAGCGTTGATTTATGCCCAAATTTGAAAAATTTGAGGGCTCCAAGCAATGTTTGCATGATCAAAGTGGCCGGTTTGAAGGAGAATCTTGTGGTTATTGGCATTGACCTTGAATGGTTGCATGTGATCGAGTATGACATATGATGATGATTGAGAGGTGCATTAGGATAGTGCAAAATTTTAGTTCTCATGTGCAAAAATGAATGGATGTTTTGACTCGATTACTTGTTGATTACAATTGCCATGCATGTTGCGTTGTGAATTGCAATATATGGTTGGGTGACTAGGTAGCCATGTGAGCTTTTAGCCGATCGTTTTCTTCTTGTCTGCTTAGATCCCTCTTACCAGGGTGAGTAACATCACAGTTGTCACTAGTGAGTATGATGGAGGCATAGGATTAGTCCATGCCCAAATGTTGTTTGTCCCGAAACGAATTATCCACTAGTCAACCCCTTTGAGCCTTGTGACTTTGGGGGTCGCTCTCATGTTAGGAGCTTTTTGCTTGTGAGCTTAATAGTGTTAAGAGACAGACCCCCCATCCTTTCTCCGTGTCTCTACATGTGTCGTCCTTCTATTCCGAAGCTCTCGCTTTTGAGTTCCATTGAGGTTCTACATAGAAGGATTGTGTGCGGTTCTTGCTATGATCGAAAGTGAAAGGAAGAGTAGTGTTGGAGTGAGTTCTTAAAAAGAGAGCATTGAGCGTTAAAAGTAGTGTGGCAAATATTTAACTCTCTAGGACCCCCCTCAAAAACAAAAGAAAAAGAAAATAAAAGGAAAGTAGAAAGAAAGAGAAATGAAAAAGAGGTAATAAAACGGGGTAAATGAAGTAGAGAGTGCCACAAGGAATCAAAGAGTATGCTCTAGGTGAGGTTTCTTGGCACACAAGCCATTGAAACCTCCAAATTGTCTTAGAACTCCTTCACTACCAAATCAAAGTGTGATAGCAAGAGTGGACCGAGGAAGAGTGCTTAAGAGAAGTTCATGATGGGTGATAGTTGGAAGGGGAAGCAAGGTTTTTGGCCGATGCTAGTGGTCGTTGTTTGTAAGGAAGGTTCTTAGTTGAACCTATAGAACCTTCGGTTTTAGGGTGAAGATGTAGGACTTCATAATGTGATTGCCACCACCCAAAAAGCTTTTTGCCCATGTCCAAGCCAATCGCCAGTCATTTGAACCCGTGTCTAAGAACTCCGAACAAGCTAGTGAAGACAACCATTCTGTGAACTCTAGCATTTAGAGGTTGCTGCCACCATGTTGAGATGATAGGGTCGAGAGTTGATGATTGTGCACATTTTTTGCACCAAAAGGTCCCGACTCCACTGGTCAAGAGAGTGAGTGATTCATTCTTGTTTTGCATTTCATATCATACCCCGTTGAGGACCTTTGTTGCACATCTGTTTGTTCCTTGGACTTGAACTCTATGCATGATTAGTTTTGGTTGGTAAGCTATCTTGTTGATACTTGCATTGAATCATGAACAAGGTGAGAAATTTTCATTTGCTCGTTTCTAGTAGACTCGAATGTCGTTTGTGGTGGATGTCAGTATTGCTTGCAACGGTCCTTGTGTTAATTGCCAATAGCCATTTGAGATTCGCCACTTTGTGCCCTTTGAATTGTCCACAAAGCATTTTGATAGGTTGATTTTTTACCTTGTGTGATATGGTTTGCTTGGGGACCGTTGCAAACGTCTAAGTGTGGGGGAGTGATTCGGGCCTAATTGCACACATTTTATCCTCGTTTCCCTTGGGCGTTTGTAGCATTTGGACTCCTAAAAGGGTGTTTTGACGCTAGGTTTTGTGCGTTTTAGTGTGTTTCAGGATCCTACAAGTCAAACCAGCCATGGAGTGGAAAGTTGGACGATAAGAGGCGAAGACCAGTGCCAAGAGGGTGATCCAGGCGGAGTTCACGGGTTAGCATTGGAGTTCACGGTCCACTATGGCCGTGAACTGAAGCCCAAAACCGTGAACCACAATGCGTCCAGGGAGAAATCCGCAATTACTACCGCTAGACGAGTTCACGGTCAACAATACTGCAAAGATTAAGGCCAAACCGTGAACTCCTAATGGCGAAGCGGTGCGTTTCGACATCACACTCTATTTTTAAGGTTTATACTTGGACCTTAGTCGGGAATTAATTGTGATATTCGGGATGATTTAAGTTTTTGGCGTCGTTGCCGGGGACAATGGTATGTTATATTGAAAAAGTTGTTTGATGTTAAGTCATTAGATCCGTCTAATCATAATTGCTAGCTAGGGGGAGCAAGCAACACCCGGGTGAAGCCTTCTCAATTAGTATCAAACCCATTTACTTTTCCAAAAGTTTTAGCTATTGATCGTTGTTTCACCAAAAACCAATCGCTAGATAATGTTACAAACAATCGAAGTAGGGGTACATGAACCGGCCCGGGTTGCCATTTAAACATACTTGCCCTATATTGCAACTAATTGAGGTATATACCTTAATTGGGAGTTTTACTGTGATATTCGGGACGAGTCAATATTAAATTAACTTATTCAACATTCATTTTCCACATTAGAGTCAACTAACTGTTGATCGGATGGAAAATTAACTGTTTGGTTAATAAATGGTTTTTGAAAAGGTTTGCTTATTATTTTGTTTAAAACAAAAGGTTTGACTATTAAATTGTATTTACCCGGAAATGATCATAATAGAAACTTTCTTCGTCCTAGGGAAGGGATAGCTTGAAGATATTGGGATGTTTCATGTCCGTGATCACGTCGTAGTAAGCCATCACCTACCCCGATTATCGTTATTTCAAATTCGTTAATAATATATTTCCCTTGCTGTATCCATTCATTCATTCAGATTATATTTGCCCATATTATTCAAATTTTGAAGCGCAACTGATGTAAATGAGACCCACTTTATCACTATGGTAAAAATCTCGGGAGCTATTAAATTATGAGAATTTGGGGAGCTATACCATTTAAATAAGAATAGGGCATCAGGTGTCATTGAACTCTATTATGTTTGCACCCGGTACCACTTAAGTTTATTGTTAAGTGCATTTCGTTAAAGTTAACAGAATAGTTTTGGATATTCTGTTTCTAAATTTCAGAATTAGTCCTTCTACTTTTCCATGTTAAATTTCCTTATAATTCTTTAATATTATATTATAGATGTTCAATATTAGTTAAATTTACTAATTCTAATTCTTTTTCTATAGTAATTTTTTCTTTCATAGATTTTTTACTGAATGTTGTAGCTTTTATAGTTTACTTATTACTTGGTTACTTTCCATATCTTTTCGCTCTATTTGTTTTACAATTAATGGAATATGTTTAATTATTTCTGATTGTGTTCCATTTATCCTTCTTTGGTCTTGATGTATTGATGGTCGATTAGGTTCTATTTTAACCGTTTTTAGTGGTGCTTTTAATTGGATTAAGGATTTAAATAGATATAATAATATTGATTTACAAAATTTATTATTATCTTCTAGTATATTTATCATTCCTTCTTGATATTCTTTTATTATTTTTACTAATTTATCTATTTTGTTGAAAAAATTTCATTAGTCATTCTAGTAATACTATGTTTAGAAACTTTTCTAATTTTTATATTAGTTAATACTTATTTAAATATAATTTTGGATGTTTTTCAAAGTTCTTAGTACCAAAAGGTAATTAAAAAACCGAGTTGGACGGAAAACTATACAGATGCAACTTTTGACGACTTTAATGGTACCCGACGCCCTATTCAAAGTTAATTGGTATGTCTAACCCAATTCTCAAACTTTTAAGTGATACCCGAAGTATTTTACCCACATAATAGCTAGAGAAGTAAGTTCATGGAGGTCCATATGAGGACCATTCCTCACCATAGGAATAATGGTAGCCCGGTAAAGCTATATTCTTTCAAATTTGGTGGCAAGGGCGCCTTTTTCAGCCCTCGTATAAATGACTCTGGTCTTTTGGGCAGAGTATACTCAATGAATTTGTGTATGCTTTAGGAGGGGAAGATGTTGTCATACCAAAGTTGAAAGCTTTTCTGGGGATGTCTAATCCATTAAGAGCAATAAGGCAACTTCTTGAGTATGATCGTGAGCTATCTCGCAAGCTCACATTGGGAAGCATGCCTTCCCATATGAAACTTTGTATACTATGAAATTTTCTCAATCTGGGTTAATTCGCACACCCATGTGTTCTTAATGATCTTCACAATATGAAATAAATTATTGATCTAGGGTCTAGTCTTTAGTTTGCTTGGCATATACAAATTAAAGAGCACAGCCAAGACTATCTCTTTGGACGACTATTCAGTTTGTCGACCATTAGGCATGGCAAGGGATTTAAAGATCGAGATAAGACCCTTCATGTTCTCTCTCGACTTCGTAGCAGTACTTGATATGCATAGAGATAGAGACTATTCTATCATATTTTGGGAGGCCCTTCTTGGCCATTCTAGTGCATCGATTGATGTTCATAAACATAATCTTATGATGATAATCGACAATGCAGAGCATATTGTACACATGATTACTCCAAAAGCCAAGAAGGAGGAATATGATAACAATTAAGATCTCCTTTTGTAGAATATGGTCGTTACTCCTTAGAGACTCATATTCCCGACTATGGGGAAGGTGTTAAATCAACCTTTCCATTTGACATGGAAAAGGCATTAGAATCCATGCTAGGGAATTCAACTATGGGAATTAGTTATCATCGCATAGCAAGCAAGAGTTTGAGGAGATGGTACATACCTTACATGTTCATGAGTCACCTACGAATCACAATGTTTCTCTTGATCCATCTCTCAAGGTTTCATCATCTTCTTGTGCAAAGTGGGTGATCTTTCTTTGAAACTCCGCCATCTTGGAAGCCAGGAAGTATCTTGCCATGACCTTTGTCAACAAGTCATTCAAGAAACAATTGAGATAGGAGGTCGCTTGTTGAGCTAACTTCGTGATTTGCCGCTTAGGGAGTAAGAGATAATTCTCAACCTAAGTGCTTCTTATGGCACTCCATTCACCTTTAGACAATTTGTCAACTCGTAGAACCGATTGATATGTTCTCTTGGCGACTCATTTTTCAATATCATGAAATTAGTCTCACGACATAGAATATCCTTCTTTGAATCCTAATTCTCTATACAATAAACTCTTTATCTCTTTTTTCTCTTTTTTTTTTCTCTAGGCTTACTTTGATTGCCTAATTTTTGGGAGGATCAAGTAATGTGATAGGTCAAGTTCCAAAATCAC